AATTATTTTTCTACTATTGTCACTGTGCAATCTCCGATATAAATCGTATTTCTCTTGGTCAGGCGTAGATTCGCGTACTTGGCGTATTTCGCGGTTTTCACCCGATTTCCCGGTTACTTTCGGTTACTCTCGGTCGGCGGGAAAAAGCAGCAGGAGAGAGAAGAGGCGAGAGTGCGGGAGCACTTTGCGACTGCCAATCCATTGAGCCTCAAAAAACATCATCGGGCAGTTTTCGTCAGTCGAACCTCTGTCATTCCTCATCCCGCTTGTCCCGTGACTCAGGACGGGCAGAACGAGCTTTTAACGCGCGTTGTCAATTTACGAGGCGCGACAAATGCGGCTTGCCGTCGGCAGGCGTCGGCCAATGTATCGGTTCGAATCCCGATAGAAAGCTGGCTCGGGCAACGTTGAACAATGGGCAATTTTCCGCGAGCGCGCGCGCGCGCGCGCGGCAAGTTTCGTTCGTCGTTTCTCCGCGACGATTAGGTAGGGAGAGCGCGAGGTGGGGTAATGGCGGGAGGTCCAATCTGCATTTGTAATGACGAACGGTGAAGGTGACACAGTGCCTGACCTCGGTGCAGGGACATTGGCCATCTATTAACCCCTGGGGCCATACGTCCCCTACTGGTTCTCTGTCACGGGGAACCACCCATGGCTACCACCGCTGTCCCTTAAATGATCCTCAACCGACGCCATTCTCCTCGGTCTCGGTCCTCGCGATGGCAACCGCTCGACAGCACCCAGGTCTACCGTGTGCGACCGCGGGAATGTAACTTGTACGATACGTAACTGCCGCGCGCTCCCCTGAAGGTGTGACTGATGAATCACATTGCTGCAATTAATACAAAACGTTTTCTTGCTGATTCTTGCCCCGCGCATTCTTAACGAAAATATTCGCGATTTACCTCAGCCCGGACAATACGACGACGATATATATTATCCTGTAGCGACGGGATTTCGTTACAGTCGAATTCGGGGTCGAATTCGGTATTTTCACGATGTCGCCGCCGTGTTTCTCGCGCCGCGGACAATGGTGGGCAAAAATTCGGTCGTTGGTTTCGCGAGGAAAGCCGTCCGTTGCCATCGCGAGATTTCGCCGCTAATCTCCGGGATTAACTTAGTGCCCAATTGGAAACCGCCGTAATCCAGTCTGCATCACCGAATTTAATTCCCTTAACGAGGTCTTGCCACTCGAGCATTTCGATGCTTTGGCTTTGGAGAGCCATATCAATTAATTATTATTCTTGTGGTTAGACTGAGTTTCCACGGGCTGACCGCTTATACGTGTGGTGAGCTTTGCCTATTCCCTTTATCATCTCTATGTTATGTTACAATTTCGGAGGGAACCTAATCAGTTACGTGCGAGTTGCGCGTTCCTCACGGTCGAGGTGGTGGAATCGGCGGAATTAATTTTTTCACCTATACGCTTCGATGAGTTATCGAGACCGACCATACGCGCGTGTGTGCGTGCATATGTTAAACTTGCATGTGTTCTACTTTCGCCGAATGTACACCGCGATATAATGCTCGTTGCCCTAATTATTTTGCAACAAAGACTCGAGCACGTTCGAGAGCGTCGACAAAAATATGACAAAATCAATCAGTGGAGAAACAATTAATTAGAGATTGCTGATTACTTGCTTGTCCGTTGTAATTCGATTCACCACAGGTACTTATTATTAATGCTAATTGGGAGATGCTTGTTATACACCTTTTTTCCGGGATATCCCGGTAATTGGATACAACATACGCGCGCACACACACACAGTATCGCGAATGGTTAAATAGAACCGTATCATATATGACCTTTGGTCTTTTGGCAGGCACTGTTAAACCGGTTCTTGTTTAATCCGACATTTGTCTCTCTCCGCTTGTTTTTATAATACTCGTGGATTTCGCGAAAATTTCATTAGACACATTAAACAGAGGACAGGACGCAGCACACACATGCGATCGTATCGGACCGCGGCTTTAGACGCCGCACGGCTGGAAGATTGATGTATGTTCGTCAACTTTGTTCATTTTCAGCCTCATCCATTTCATAACTGTGTTAACTGCGGCAGACTAAACTATCGATCACACCGTACAAACGTTCCATCCAAACGTCGTTCGCGGATATCTTTTATAATAAATCTTGATTTTGCCGAGCGCTGCGCAGACCGCAGATCGCGTCAGATTTCGTCGCGGGTGCTTTCGAGGAAAGAGGAGAAACGACGCTCTCGGGTGGATGAGACCATAATAATCGCACATGTTCCGCGACGGAATTCTTGTCGCTCTTGAACTTGAAGAAACCGAAACGGTTCGTTCGCGAGTGAACCGTGCGCGCGTACTTATCAGCAATTAAACATCGGATTGCGAAAGATTTTTCACGCGAGTGTGCTGTCGCGCTTCGTCGAAGCGAAGGATCATCAGCTGGTGCACCACTTGCCCGGCGCCAGCATCGCTCGGAGTAAATATTTGACGAGTAACTCTAGTATCACGGCTATACCGGCTCCTGATGAGCGATGCGCATCACTGCCGCGGGCCTCGGCCTCGTTCCGCCTCAAACGTCCTCGCGTGCTCCTACGTTACTTTGTGAAATTAAAGGGCTTTACATTTGCGCACACACAGTCGACGCGATTCTCGCGAAAAAACCGGTAAAAAATGGCAGACCTATGCCGCTGCAATTTAATTTTATCTGGCGAGACAGGCGGGCCCGTTTCGGACTCGGCGGCTCGGCGGCGGCGAGTCGCTCGATCGATTACCCGTTTCGCGCTGTTCGTACAAATGCCACGTGAGAATAATTTTTATCTTTCATCTTGCCCACGTGTACAACGTGAAATCTGTGTCCGCTTATTTTCTCTTTGTGTGTATCGTTGGGAGCAGCAGGGTGTATTGAGGTGTCTCTCAGCCGATGAGATGGCGAAGTAAGGGGTGACCTCTCACGAAAAATAGACTCATCGAAAACATTAGTCCTCGAAGACGGGGAAGTTAAAAATTGATTGTTACTCCTCCGAGTGAGGAAACAAGTTTCAACTGGCAAAATTAGCATTCTCAAGTTAGATTTTCCCTCTCTCAAATCACTCCTCGCGTATTCGATTTCGTTACTCTTTTGTTGCACCGCGGGTTCCCTCTTGTGTAACCAGTTAAGAAATTATTTCGCTGAAATCATTAAAAAGGACACGTACAAATGTCACGTTTCCACGGGGTGTTCTACGGAGAAGCGCGGATAGCGGTACAAATGACAAGACACCTGTATTTAATTAGCGCCGCGGAGCTTTGAACCGCCGGTATTGTCCGTTCCGACAGAACGCTAGCAAACTTCAAAGTGCCGGGGCGAACTGTTGTAGGCTGAACGCGCGCGCGCGTGCAAAAAGGGAAAAAAGAGCGGCATGCTCCCCCCCCCCCTCTCTCTCTCTCTCTCTCTCTCTCTCTCTCTCTCTCTCTCTCTCTCTCTCTCTCTCGTGGTCGAGGATAGGTGTCTGAGCATTAAACATTCAGAGTCCGTTTCAATTTGTTGCGTGAAAGCGCGAGTGGACTTTGAAGCGTACAAAGGTTGCGTACCTTACTCGAATATGTTGCGACGTACTGATTGGAAGGATCAAAGCCTGTACGAACGGACGGTATTTAATCATCCGACCGCGGAAGAACGTACTCATCAACGGTCGGCGGACGGTTCTGTTTTACCTCGGCATTAGTAACATTTCTCTCCTTCCCCCACTCCTCCTTCGTCGCAAATCCTAAACGCTTGTCGTCATAGTCGATCATTTCGGAACGTGCCTGAATATTATTCGGCTATTTCATCTTAAGCTGCCCTTCGCACCATTCTACGAGATTAACACAAAATTCAGAGCAAAGAGTCGCGCGCGCGATATCGTTTCGTTCGCTCTCCCGGCGTAAGTTTCTTTGTCCTCGCTTTTGGTCTCGCCGCCTCTGTGCTTCGGTACCGCGACCATCCGGAAAAGGGTATCGACAATGAATTTTACGCACGGCAAAATCGCTCGTCCAAGCCGGCAGATTCGGTACTTGGGTCCGGATGGAAATGAATTCGATTGGAGCGAGCATCTTTCTTTTTCTTTTCTCTCCTCTCTCTCTCTCTCTCTCTCTCTCTCTCTCTCTCTCTCTTCGCCCTGTCTCTCCCACCCCTCCTCCCTGCACTTTTGTTGCGAAAGAGACCTTTCGTCTCTCGGTTGGAGGCTTCTCTTTTTACGAGGCGTAAAATACCGTCCACTGGTCGTTGGCTAGCGCAGTCGTAAATTGGTTACCGACCTTGCCTGCTTGGAGAATCGAAGCTTTCCGATGCTGTCTGTGGATTCCAACGGACACGTAAACGTTATCTCATTGTCGCTCCGCGTCCTATCGATCCGCCGCCGCCGCCGGTAGCTTCCTTTTATTGCCGTGCGAAAAGTAAAAGCTGGTATCTTAAACGGATCGCGCGAAATTGTCGCGCTGAGTGGCGATCGAGTGAATTAAGAAGGGCCTCGGAATTCGAGCAATTTAGGGTTTCGGCCGATTTCGGGTTACCTAACCTAACCCTCTTATTTCACGCACCGGGAAATATCACCGGACTGCGTGTCGCAATTCGCACATCTCGCGATCTCGGGTAGGAACTTCGGGAGGAAGTCCGCGCACGCATAGTCTCGTATTGGATTTTTTCGAGTCTCACCTCCTTGTCACGCGTTTGTGATCACGCGTAAGGCGAGAAGCAAATTAGAGCGCGGAAGGGGGGAGTAAAGATTAAAGTAACGTCGCGGTAGTTGAGTGAGGAATATTGAAGGTGACTCGATCGAACTCGAGCGATTCGGCTTGGAGTTTCTCGCCCGCCGGGGATGGATGCAGGTAGACGCGTAAAAATAGCGAAGGCTTTGCGCTCTTGATCAGGCATTATATTTCCAGCGATTAATTATCTTGCGGCGATATGTCAAACCCCTTCGCCCATTGCTCTTCGTGCACCCTCGGCGTCGGTCGCTCGCGGTCGGTCAAGTTCGCTCCAGTCCGCACGCGCCGAAAGGGCGGTGGGGCTTGCGAGCTTTCAAGCGCAGAGCTTCCGCTCACTCGTCGTTTTGCATCAGTCGCGGACACTTTGCGCTTTCGCGGTAGTGGGTGTACCTTCCGAGCGCGTACGCGTACGTGTCGCTGGTGATGGTCGTGCGTCCTTCTTCCGGTTCGTGTGCGAGCGACTGATCGATGCGTGGCGGACGCGAGATCGACGACGCGCCGCCGGTCGTTGCGCACGATCGATCGATCAGGATCATCGCGAGGATGCTGCTGGCGGAACTTTTTCGGAGCGGCCATCGATCGCCCTGCTCGTAGCTTCATCCCGCTGAGATCTCGCCGGGAGCGAGAGAGCGGCGAAGCGTTTTTCGGCTTCGGGTCCGTTGGATTATCCTGGCCGGAGTGCCCTTCAGCGATATGGGATAGTAGTGGAGGACGACGCGCGGCAGTGCTTTGGTTGATTGGGATTTCGTGTAAACGTTACGGGAGGGAGAGACACGGAGTGAGGGCTCGGATTCTTTGCGTTTTACCATTTCATGCGCCTAGGTTTAACAGTCGGGGAAACATTCGTCGACGACGACCCGACGACGACGACGACGGGACGCTTTGATCCTACGTGGTTGATGCCTCGTTACGGATTAATCGTGTGGGATTAGAGGTCGTTGCTTCGAGGGCAACGGCACGGCGCGGCGCGGCGGCGGCACGGCGGATTCTGTACACGCGATATATGCGAAATCGATAAAGAATCAATTCTTCATAGGGATCTCTCTCTCATCCCTCCCCTGCCCCGGTCTTTCTTTTTACATGCTAGCGTGGATTTTACGGCCCGCACAGTGGCATTGTTCCGGAGAGAGATATCTCATTAAATAATTTGCTGTTTGCGCGGCGCGCTAATTTCGGCTTTATTCTATTCAGGCGCGTTTTCAAGCGCTTCTCCGGTAATTCCAATTACTAGTGCATTCGAATTAAGTTTGCTTTAATTTGTCGACTGCTTTGAATTACTCGGCACATTAGTTAACACTAAATGCATATTGATAACGATCGGTGCGTATGTAACGCTATTAATGAAAATAATCACGGTGCGCGGTTACGTGCTGTTCCGTAAAAAGATTGTGAAAGGTTTGAATTGACGCGGATAAGCGAATAATTAATTAATACGCTGAGTGGGAACATTGTCGTACGGGTTATCATTGAAAATAGTGAATATGCACGAAAGATACTTGAAACTCTCGTAAAATAATATAATCAGCGGTCTTCATTTCCCGGTACATTTCGAGGGGGTTTCTATCATTTTTAATAAAATACATAAAAATTTCGTCATGCCGAATGAGCGTGAATAGAAGAATGATCGAAGACAAAACGAAACATTTCTCTTTTCAACGGGAATATTTTGTTCTCGGCCATTCAGAGTCATTTCATTTCAAAGGGAAAATACAATCCTTCTCCTTTTCGCATGAATTTGTACTGCTCTTCTGCTCCTATGCGGAAGTCCAAAATACTATTTTAAAATTCCCACCGCGCTGCGCCCCCTAATCTGAAAATATAATTCATCGCGTAATTCATCATCGAAACAAGGTCAGAATGCATTTCGCGAGTATGCAGATTAATGACGACTTCCGAGAGAGAGAGAGAGAGAGAGAGGAACATTCCCGTTACGACGACATGAAATAGTAACGCGCGAAACGAGGACGAGCGTGTTTTACTCATCGCGCCGAAAAATCACTTTCAATTTGCCAATTGCGTACTTTTTTCTAATTCGTAATTCGCGGAGCTGGCGGTCAATCTCGTGTTTTTAACGATCGCGCGGGGTCGTACAACATTGCCGAGGGAGAAGGCTGCGATCGCGTCAACGTCAACGTATGTCCATACGTACGTCCGGTGTTTTATGTTGTGTAAACTGTGCGAACGAAACGAGAGAATTTATCCACACGGTAGGATGAAACGCGTGTTCATTAGAGCGTGTTCCGTTATGAAAATAGGAGGAAAGATCGCGCCCGTGCCGTGTCCGGCACCCGTTTCGCACGCACGATTTCACCTCTGCGTGTGTGTGGTAGGCGTGCGAGCGAGACGCGAGGCGCGAGCACGGTCTACACGGCAATTGAATTTCGCGACGGCTCGATAATTCGCAATTAAACCATCTATTCGACATTGTTGTAGAGTGAATGGGCTCGCGCGTATGCACGAAATAGGCCGCGACCGATAGCCAATAAAAAGCGCTTCCGTTTATAGGTAGCTGGAAACTCGCGGCGATTGTGCAATACTTGATTGTGTTGGATGGTAATATTACAGCCGGTAATCTAGCCCGTAATAACGCGTACGCTCTACGCCTTTGTGCTCGCCCGAGGTGTTTCAATATCGTGTCTTGATTTAAGAATTTCGAGGCTGCACTGTGTGCGCGCGCGCTGCTCTCGACGCTCCGTGTGTCCCCCGAGCCCTTGTTTTTATCCCTCACGAAACGAACGCGCGCGCGATCTATCACCGCCGCGCGAACGGAGATCTAGCGAACGTAACGAGTCTTAATTGCAGCGACGTACATTACACACCGGTATTGATTAATGTCTCGCCCGATATCGCGCAGCTCCCGGGCTCGCACTTTGGACCGCACGCAACAAGGATAGCGGATCGATTGTTAGGTGTTTTTAATGTTGGATTCGGCTCTCGCTTCGGCGAGAGTTACTGTATATTTTACGCGCGTATTTATTTACGCAGGCTGGTTACATCGACGCCATTTGTCAGGGACATTGAAAAGTATGCGCCCCCGAGGCCGACGACGCCGCGACCCACCTGTGTGTCCCGATTCGTGCGCGCGCGGTCATCGCGCGGTATAAAATGTCGACTGAATTGTGGTGATGTGCTGCGGGGATGAACGTGATGATAAGTCGCGCCGAAGAGACAGCGTGTCAGTGACAGAGCCGGTGTTAGTGCGGAGTGCATAGCGGCGAGCGGCTACATTTGCATCCCATCTCGCTGCCTAGGCATTGTTAATCCGAAAACGCGTCGTCTTTTCGGACTTGGTGGTAGTTCCGAGACAGTGTTAGCAAGTACGAAGTGTGTCTGCAACTTCCGCGCGACTGCCTTACCCTCCTCGGCTTCGGAAATTGGTGAGTTGCGTGCTTGCATAATTGATGCGCGCGTAAAGCGCCGCGCGGGCTCGGCTCCGCCGACTCTTTCGATTTATTTTTAACGTCCGCAGTTCGTAATTCGATCGATCGCCCGTGGCAGCCGCGGCCACGTCGTGAGATATTGATTTCACAATACGACGGCGGATTCCGCGAGGACCGTCTTGAAATGTCGCGAATGGTCCTCCTGCCGCTGTGCTCGACAGAAAGTAACTCTCTCACACACACACACACACACACACACACACACACACACATATATATATATATATCAGCGAGTGACGCGACATATATTTTCGGCGCAATCATGTTAGAAAGAGATAATTTATGAGCTCGCCTGTAAGAGGATCGTTCCTCGCGCGTAGAAATACCTTATGGTACCCATGTGACGCTCCTTAAACATAAAACATAAAGGACCTCGCGCGGAGAATGTAACGATATTAGACGTAAAAAGGCATCAAATACATTTTCATACTCTGGTCGCGCTTCCTCATCAGCGCAGTTCTCATTCTCGTTGTGTACGATGTTTGTATGAATTGTCGGTCGCGTTTTGCGCCTTAAAGATAACAAAGAGCAAACGCGTATCTCGGGTGAAGCAGGATAAACGTTCGTTTCAGTTTTCAAAGACTTCGGATTCGTCAGTGCTGTCAAAGTCGTTGGAAATTTTGGGACCAATTTGGTCCTTTACTAAAATACAAGTTAGCCAAGGTGATTACCATATAAAACACGTTACTTGGGAAACGTCAAAAAATCCCGAGTTTTGTCCCGAATAGAAAACTGAGAAAATTCACATCGATTCTTTTTCTTTCTTTCCCAAAAAGTATATTCCGTAGTATATTCTTGTAATAATAAATACCAAGTTTTTTCTGTCGAGAGAGGGTGGAATTCCATTTCAATCAACATGCGCGAGTTTTTTCTCTCTGTTGCGTCTATCGTCACATAACATAGATTGCTTTTTATAAGTTATGTATGTGTGCGCGTGTTTGTCTTTACGTATTTTGTCATCGAAATACAGCGGCGCGTAATGGAAGCGAGAGCCGAGGCGAGGCGAATGGCCGTTGAAAAATAAACTAAAGTAAATAGTAATAGAAGGGAAAGCGTCATACACGAGTACAAAATCAAGCTTGATGGTAACCGATCCCAATACCGTTGATATACGATGTGGCGAAGCAGAATCTAAAAAAAGATCGATGGCCGGTGCGTCGGTGCCAATTTTAAAAAATGCGTTCGTTTGCATCCAATGCAATGCGGTATATGCGCGAGCACGGCGGGCGAGGGGGAAACGCCCCCCCCCCGTCCGGGAGAGACTTCATTGCTCCGCGTGCATTTACGAAAGAGATGTATTGAGAATTCAGAGTTCCTTTCGTTCACCATTTATCGACGCTACTGTTTCAAAGTCTCTCCACATCCGGGCGAGGGTGGAGAGTCTCGAGTGCGTGCACGCCACCCGTTGTCCAGCAGTCGTTGCGCAGAATACGCGATTAACCGAATTACTCGGCGCGAGCGATAGCGGGCGTCAAAGGATGCGCGGGAGTAGACGCCGTAATTCGAAGCGTGATTCAAGGAGAAGAAAAAGTTCACACGAGCTCGCTACGTGCCAAGACTATTCCGAAAGAGTTACCGGCGACGCTAATATCAGTGGTACGAAGCCCCCACAACCGTCGCGGTATTTCGACCTCGAAGCTGCTACTGCCGCTGCCGCTGCAGTCGCGTACTGGAAGCTATCCAACGGATATACCTTACGCGCTACCCATCCCCGTTTCCTCAAAACCGGGCGATGTTAAAGAGGCCTAGATTCGGCTCGGGGGCGGATATTTACAAAGCCGCGTTAAACGCGCGCGCGGTCACGAACTCTCTCGCGTCGAACATTTATTTATTATGTAGATTATGTAGATATTGATGAAAAATTGCAAATGACACGAGTCGGGCGCGGGATCGAGAAAGTCTTTGTCGCATTGGCAGATTCGGCTGCGCGAAGCGATTACAAAACGGTCATCGAAGTATATCATCCCAGCAATTTTTCAAAAGGCGCGTCGCGTTCGTCGCGAACACGTGGGGGGTATCTCACAATGGCGTGTACACGGGGGAAGGGGGGGTTCGTCGTAATGTCGATAACGTTTAAACGCGAGCCATTGCTCGACGGCATTACACGAATGTGCATGCGAAGTACGCAGTAATAGCTGTCCCGCGCCTTTCCGACGGGCGAGAGTGAGAGAGAGAGAGAGAGAGAGAGAGAGAGAGAGAGAGAGAGAGAGAGAGAGAGAGAGAGGACGGAAGCCCCTTGATTTAATTTTACTGAATTCTCTTGCGCCCCACGTGGACAGGACCACAAGAGAGGGCACTGAAATTCTCCAGTGACACCGGGCCAATTTCCAGAAGGGTTCGCCGAGTGGACGACAAACATGCGCTTTTGAATTTCCTCGCCGTTCTGTACGACGTGGAATGGCATCGGCGGGCGGGCAGCTCCGCGAAGTGCTTTACTCTTCAGATTTGAGCTTGCCGAATATAGCCTTGGCATCGTTCTCTCAGCTGTGCTTTAATCTCGATTATCGGGCGATTCCTGAATCGCAGGTCCGTTAGAATGAGTACGATTCTCGAGCTGCTTTTCCTGAGCGGCAAGTGCCTCGTGCCGCCGCGGTGTTTGCTTTATAAATCGCACCTCGCAATGATTTAGTGTTAATTGAAAGCGTGCGCAATCTCTCTCTATCGAGACTGGGGGGACTCGTTACTTTTCTTAGAGAGGTCGCGGAATTGGGAGAGTCACAGGGACGATGCAGAATCATTGAATAAAAATGTCCGGCCAGGCGTATGGCTTTTTTCGCAAAGCTGACGAATAATTGAGATATATTTTCAGTCTGCGTAGCAATTAAAAGATCTATCCGTCATGCGGGCTTTAATTTAAACGGCGCCGCGCGATATTCTCTCCGCGAAGCAATTATGCGATGCGAATATGAGGAACGATTCGCCCCGGAATTTTGTTCGTAAATCTTAATTCGCTCGAAAATGGAAATGTAATTCGCGTCGCGTTTGGATTTCAACTATACGTGTAAATGGTGTACGCATATATATGCATATATATATACATATATATATATGTAGCATACATACATTCGAATCGGTCGTATAAACTTTGTTTATTACCGCGCGCGCGGGAAATGCGCGAGCCGCGCCGAGATATCGAGTGTCAACGACTTGGACGACAGGTATTTCGGAAACAATTATGAAACGCCATAAATATCAATTCAACGACACGCGCACGTGCGGCGCGCTCGAGCTCACCGGCGGGCGGTGACTCGGGGTGAGCCGTTCTCGGCGCGATAGTGAATCAGCCAGATTTCTCGACGAGTTCGCGGGAGCTCGCGCACACACATACACACACACACACACACATACACGCACACGTGTCGCCGCGTCCCCTCACGTACGTAAACCACAGACGGGCGAAAATGCCGTGATAGCGTAAGAACGTCCGCGCGACGCGGGGAACAGTGAGACTTTTAATATAACATACCAGACGTTCCGAGTGCCTCCTCGGCCCTAAAGTTGAGCACTGATCCCGAGAGGAGAAAAGAGAAAATATATCGGTGCCGCGTCTCGGCCATCGTCGTTCCCGTAGCTTCGTCGCATCGTGTACCGTCTTTCTGTATCATCGTCGTATCATCGTCGTTGATCGCGCGTCCGGCTAAAATATTTTCACCGCGAAGTCGCGAGTCATGCTTATTTCGCCGGTTTCCGCCGCTCGGCCGTTCGAGCTTTTGTTGCGGATATTATTGCCGCTCGGTGTGCGTGTCGCATGCGAGACCGATATTAGCTTATAGAAAAACCGAAAGACTCAGAGGAGGACAGGACGCGGGGGAAAGCCCCGGTGTTCGAGTTATTGCCGACGAGAAGCGCGCTCGCGCGGTGTGCGTGCATCCGCGCGTCAGAATACGAGTACAACTGCGTTCCCTCCCCGATAATAACGACGGCAATGGGCTTCGGAGGGTAATATCCATCTGCATATAACTGCGACAAGCGAAACAATCCCGCGCCCGTTGGGGCTTAAATATTAAAGCGATATTTTATTCAGTTCAATCCAACGTGCGCGCACGCGTGGGCCTGCCCATATCTTGATCCATTTCACTAGTTCTGACACGAGGATGACTCCTGGAGTAAGCCGCCGTAGAACTCCGTAGGACTTTTGAAGGTATGATATCTTCATTCCGCCGTCGCACCCTTAGGGACACGTCCGCACCGCGACCGATCTGAATTACCAATGAGTATTCCGATCACGTTGTCCCGAGCGAGCTGTTCGCGCGGAATAAGAGAGCCTTGCAAAGCCATAGGCTAGGCCGGCACAAGGACAGGGGGAGGGTGCGACGGCCAAAACAAAGAGGGAGAGTAAATGAAGAAAAGCGCGTTGAGGAGAAAGAAGGAGGAGGACGGAAGCGGCGACGCCGGTTGATTCGAGTGATCGCGATCGTGTGTATCTGTTTTTTTTTTTTTTTCTTGTAATCAAGCTTTTTCTTCTACTTTTTTTGCCGATCGAGCAGCACTCAAGCGCACGTATGTGCTCGTGTTCGGAGTTGGAGCAGAGTTGGGGCGGAGGAGAAGCGGGAAGGGACCGTGTAAAATATATTTTGGAAAACTGTTGTTTGTCAGAGTAGCACTCACCGTGACCATAACTTTCGGATAATGGCTGACGGCCATTAAAAAAAAAAAAATTACGGTTGGTACCTGTGATATTCTGTTTGATCTCGTATGTCGGATGTTCGCCGATGGGACATGAATGGGACACGCAAATCCGCGTCTGACGAAATTTTGCAAAGCGCCTGCCACGTGGGAGCGCGCCTTTCTGATCGCCGTCGCGTTCGCCATCGCGTTCGCCATCGTTACGTATATCGGATCTAGGTGTATTTTCCGCGGGATATCCATCCCGCCTTCGGGGGTTGACGCGTATGAATTACCCGATTTTTGACGGTTGCTGGGGTGCTTGGCGGCGC